AGGATCTTTCTTCTCCAAAAAAAAAAAAAAAAACAAATCTAAAGTGGTTGTCAACACCGTTGGTATGCTGAAATATCAGTTTGTACATTGAAATTTGACCAAAATGAGTGAAATTTGATCGAAATGGAATTAAACTTTATACCGTTTCGATGTAATGAAAATCCGGTATGTACGGGCTACGAAATGAAATCAACAACACTGGTAACAACCCACAATATTTTCCTTTTTCAAATTTCTTTAAAATGGAGAGAAAAACAGAGGATTCAAAAACTAAACCAGTATATGAGATGTTAGTTGAAACAGAAATGGAGCGAACTTAGGCTCTGAAAATGAGACTTTTTAAAGGAAATGAGAATGCTAGGCTGAAGAATCAAAAGGTTAAGGGATTTGGTGACACACACTAGCATGCATTATTCTAATTACAACTCTCTTCTCTCTTCCCCAGCATGTCAGCTTCGGTATGCTATGTCAATAAGAAGATGCATCTAGATGTAAAAGATGAATTAACAATAGTGATGAAGATTTCATTATTCTATTACATCTCAAGAAATCAAGAGACATGGTATTGAATTACCAAGCAAGGTAAAATCATACACTACAACTTTCAGGAAGAGAAAAAGGAACACTGTAATAGAACCAACAAGATTAATTCATGGTGTACATATCACATGATCACATCTTGCACTAGAACAAAAGAAACTACACATAGAAATCAGACCAGAAAGATGCTACAAGTTATAAGCAATGGAATTGTTGCCAAATCCTTGAGTACCAAAGATCTTGGGACACTGCATATCTGCAATGACTTATAGGGCTCGAAAACTGTCTGCTTTATCAAGTCTAGCAGTACCTGAGCTTGATGATTCACCCATTGCATCAGGAGAAGCTCCAGCTGGAGATGAGTCTCTCTTCAGAGTAGTTGGCAACACTGAAATTTCCTGAAAAAGGAAAAGGGGATAGGGAAAATAGTTGTCATTTAACACGCAGTAACACAGCAACCTCCAGCAGCAATTAACCAATCACCACAACAAAAAAACATAAATTTGTTTGTTATCGATTAAGTTAACAGAACAGTCCAAATTACCTTCATTAAGTGTAACCTCAGGTCGCAAGGGCGAACTTGGTTACCAATGCATGCCATTACAAACTTTGAATACTGATAAAGCACATCAGCAGCAGCTTGCTTTTTCTCTTCAATCTGAAGAAAGTGAATGAAGAAATCAACACCAAGCTAGCCTTTTTAACCATTCTAAAAGCATAATTACTTAGACCATCGCGCATAAGCCACCACTTAATTGAAAGAAAGTTCAAGAGACACAAAAAACCAATAACGCAAGAAACAAGAGCACCTCCATCCAGCATCACATATTAGACCTCAATTTTGGTAAAGAGAAAAACAATTGAGATTACTAGAAATTGCATTATTTATCAAAAAGGGTTTACATTAAATAATGAGCTTAGAAACTAGATCATCAC